CCCCTCCCCGTCCCCCTGCCTCCCCCCCCTAGTGTATCATCTCTCTCTATTCAAGCCTGCTGTGGCTTCGTGCGAAAGTGCTAAATACGTGAATCTATTGCGTGAATTCACTGTTGATCGACAGTTCACGTGCACTTTGCTTCCAAACCCTTTTTTATACTTCTGGTTTCGATAGAATGATAGGAACGTTTGCTTTGCCAAATTGCTTTGCTGGTCGATTCTTTTCGAATAGCATTATCACTTAATGATTTTTGTTTGGACGCTCGCTAAGTGCACGGATTTCCAATTGCCAATTGCTATTCTCGAGGCTATGTAATTATCCCACTCATCCCTGCGGGATTGAAATCCGCTGTTTTGAGGTGGAACTCGACTAACGTGCAGCTCTCATTTCTAATCATTTGTTTCTACTTTATAGTTGCTTGGTTGTAGCTGAAGTTCTTGTCAAGTGCCAATTATCCGGTGGTTTTAATAAAGCCAGCTAGCTGAGCTGGAAGTTCTATAGCTGCAATGGTAGGGGGCAAAGTCCTAAGGCTTGACAAGACAAGTCAGGACGTAGCCACGCGACACCCTTGAACAACTCTTGCCCCCCCCCTCTTTCTTGAATGTTCCTCCTACGGCACTATCACGAAACTTCCAAGTTATCAGAATACACAGAGAAACTGGAAAACTTGCTTTCAAAATTCGCGAAAAAAAAGAAACTCTCCTTAATTAATGAAAATTCCGATCTTTCACATCTTTCCAATCCAATCTTTCCAATTTCGTATGTCAAATACACTCCATATCCCGGACATGGGGTGGACGTGGCTAAGTACTTTATTTGAAAGTGCTGGCGGCTGTAGTTCTGGTGGTTTACTTTCGTTTTAATCGAATTTCAATCATGCCTTTTTCCATTACAATAGATGGCAACTGTCTCAGATTGAAATATCTCGAAAAAATACAAAAAAACTCATCCTAGGCTATGATGAAGTGAGGTACGCAGCCACGCCCTCTCCCACTTCGAGATATAGAGTGTAATGCTTTGATAATCTTAGCATAGTGCTGTTCCAGAACCTTGCTGGAATCTGAATGTAGGAACCACAAAAAGGCAGCAAAAGTTTTTGCAGTAAAAAACTCCAAAGATCCAAAAGAATTTAGAAGTTTTTATAAAAAATTTTCTTTTCATTCCTCTCCTTCGGAATAATCCTCCATCCAAGTTGTGTATGAGCTCGAGTGTTTTCCTTCTAATGAGAGCGCTCGGCGAGGGAAGGGATTTTTATGGGGTTTATTGGATTAATTTTTTTCATCAGCCTTTGGCCCCACATTGCGGCAAGAGCAGCCTTGCGGGGCTTCATCACGTGCACGGCATTTCTACAAAGATTTAGTTTATTTGACATTGAGATACTGTAACTATCGATTCAGCTAACTAGTAAACAAAACGTGGTTGTAACTTCTGCACTATTTTTACTGTACTAACCTTGTTGGAGCTAGGTTTTTCTGCACTGTTCCATCCCTCCCTGCCTATCCTGCTGGTTCTGTTTTCAGAGAAAACCCATAGGCTTTATAGCAGTACTGCTTGTGACTTGATGCACATCTGGAACATAGTGACTCATTGATGATTAGGTGCTGACATCAGTTCCGAAAGCTACCCGTGCGGTATATCCACCTCTACGCTTGCTTTCAACGCCTTTAAATTTATCCTCCCTCAGCAGCGCTCTCATACATTCCGTTGCGACTAGGTAGAATATGAACTAGCTTTCTCCAGCAATCTATACCCCATTCAGGCAAATTTCCCGTGCATCTCAGCAGTCTGTCCTAATGAGCCAGATGGACGCTCATTTCCCACAGCCGCATTGCTAAACATTTATCAGGCTCAGGCTCTCAGCAGAAGAATTCCTAACCCTTGATATTCCTGCCCATTTAGCCCTTGGACAAGATATTTACAGAAAAATTATACTGTACGAAGCCGTTGGCTAGATTCGTCGTGAAGCACGAGCTTATGTTTTTGTTTTGATATTCATTAATTTTATAAGGAAATGAAGTATTGCTAGAACAGGAATTATAGCGAACTCAGAAGAGTTTTTTTTTCTCTAGTAAACTTTCCTCAACATAGAGACGAAAGGAGAATCTTAGGCTTGGTTTGAGCGCCAGATATCCTTCCCAAGAAGGCTCATCACGAGATCATGTCGTACGTTGAGAATCTCCAGCGAAGGAGTCGTATTTGGTCGCCATAGGAAAGGGGTCGTACTTACCTTTGTAAAAAATGTCCGCGGTCGTTGACTTTCTCCGCGTTTCCTGTTTAGTGTGCATACACGCCCCCACCCGCACATCCGTTCTTTTTGGAGAAAATAGTGAGGAATTCCAAAAAAAACTTTCGGAAACATTGGGTGAGAAGTTGGAAAATTAAGGAGGTAAACAGCATGGGGTAGGAGGAGTCCTACCATCGGGACTTTTTAGAGGGGTTGTATTTGCCAAAAAAAAAACCTACAACGGCACGATAGGACGCGCCCGGCTCGTCACTGTCCCTGACGGCTCCGATAACATCTTAACATCAGTAAGAATTCCGTAGCATTTCACCCTCGACTACCTTTGTTCGTCAGCAACTCACTGTTCGGTGGTTAGACGAAGTCTTCTGCTCCCCCCTCACTTCCACCTGCTTGTACGTAGTAGTCTCTCCAAAGCAAGTCTCCTCTTGACTGTTACTTTTCTAATTAGCTTTCGAAAGAGGCTATTTGAAAAATAACTTGTGTCAAACGAAAATTTATTTCTTCTTCCTCAGGTTACTTTTGCCATTGCAGTTTTTTATCTCAAATCTGCCTGCGATTAGCTATACGATTAGCTACAATATACATCTATCTGTTCTAGAAAAGCTTTCGAAGGATATGAACTACCCTGTTCTTTAAAATTGTTTAGTGTGAAAGGTCACCTAAGAGAGTGAAAAATTTCCACGCTCCAGGCAAAAAGTTTTCCCCACGCGTCGCGTTCGCGTGCGGTCTCGGCGCCCAACGTTTCCCCTTCGTTCCAATTTTCCCATTCATTTCGCACTTTTATGTTCTAGCTGGTAGCTAGTCTTCGAGGTAATGCATTTATTTTTGCAGGAATGTCATCACAAAAGAAATCCAGTACGGCGCAGCAATCAAATGTGGCACCTGTGGTGCACAAGGTGAGTCAATTGTTTCTAGTTTCTTTTGCTTTTTCCCCAGTTGCTATTGTGTACGATGTCGGTGGTTAGAAGTGAAGAATACTCATCGGTGCTCTACATTCGTAATATAACGTTCATCCGTTTCGAGTGGGGGCAAGGGGTGGAAAACAGACTGTCAATTACTGATATTGTTAAGCAGGGCACGCCATGGATCCCCGGCGAGGGAGGCCGTAACTGGTCGTCGGCTAGAGGAGCATATTTTGCAGAAAGTTTTTTTCAACTGCAAAAAGTGCTCTGCTGGTATAAGTTGTGAAAAGAAGAGTAACGGCGAAGGAATCCCTAGCAAGTATATTAAATTGCCTAGGGCTAGTTGTCCTTGATTCCACCTTTAAAATGAGTTCCAGTTATGTGTTTTTCCTCCTTTATAAAACACGTAAGGTTCTTGATCTATCAGTTATTTTATAAAACAACTCATTTTCATGTATCACAGCAGGCCAGCAATAGTAGAACTGCGCATATCGCACGATGGGATCTAACTGTTTTTACAGCATATCCACTGAAATACTGGAAACAGTCGGGCCCATTGTTCGTGATACGATAAACGATGGATAAAGTGCAAAGCGCAAACAGTAATTGATCAGGACTTTGGAATCGAACTACCTCTTTTTGAAATTTTTTCCTAGACATTTGATTTTTACATTTCCTAATTATTTAATTTATTTATCACTTTCCTTTCTGCTGCTTAGGCCGCGCTCATACATGATGCAGAATTGCCGAACCAGGATGTGCAGATGCGGAATTTGCAAACCTGCGGAATCGGGAGAAATGCAGAAGAATCTGCAGGAGAATGAAAGAATATCTATTGATTCGGAAAACCGCGGATTTGGGAGAAATGCACAAATGCGGAATCTGCAGAAATGCCGAAATTTCTGCATTTTGGCATTTCTCCCGCTGGTGGGGCTGAGCGATCAATCCCTATCAAGTCGTTGTCCGTCATTTCAGCATTTCT